ATACGTATATATATATATATATATCTCCTAGTTTTCCTTCTCTCTCTCTCTCTCTCTAAGTAAATGATGATCTCTTATTTTGCTTTGGAGTAAAAGAAGTTACTCTGCCTTTGCATTGAATAAATGGAATATAACTTTCTATTGACATTATCTGGATTTCTAAAGATCTAAGCAGGGCTGGCCATTGGCCAGGCTCTGAAGTAGAGCTTCATTCTCTGCTTAGCACTTCACTTATTGGCCCACTGCATTCCTACTGCCCTGGCATATATATAAAACTGGTCCTATAGTTAACCTTTTGTTAAAGTAAGAATGTTCACCATAGTCTGATCACTGTGACCAGTTCTAGTCCTGACCTAGCTCATGACTAGTAGCTATGAGTAAGAAAAATGACCTCTCTTGCTTCAATTCCATCACATAAGAAGGATGAGTTCCAGTACCCCATATTAGGGCTCTTTAACAAAGTGTCACAAACTAGGTGGCTTACCAGAAATTGTCTCATTGTTTTGGTTGCTTAGAGTTTAAAACAGGTGCAGGCAGGGCTGGTTCCTTCTGAGGGCTGAGGGACAATCAAACTTGCAATCCCATGCCTCAGTTTCTCTAGTAGTTGTGTGTAGGATGTTTCTAAGAAATCTAGGGAGACTTGGGACATTGTCCCCCCTTAGCTATATTTGTAATAAGTGTGTCTCTAATCATTCTCTAATTTCTTTTTCTTTTTTTTAGCCAGACTGTGATCGATATAGGTTACCAGGATGTCCTAGGGACTTTAACCCTGTGTGTGGAAGTGACATGACCACTTATCCCAATGAATGTACTCTGTGCATGAAAATCAGGTAACATGATTTTAAAACTGTAGACTAGCCAAGTTTTCTTCATTTCTTTCTTTCTTTTTAATTTGGTGTGTGTGTGTGTGTGTGTGTGTGTGTGTTTGCAGTGCTGAGAATTGAACACAGGACTTTGCACATGATATGCAAGTACTCTACCACTGAGTTATATCCCCAGCCCTTTTTATTTCAATTTTTATTTTATATTTTTATCATTTTTATTTTAAGATAGGCTCTTGCTAAGTTGCTGAGGTTCTTGCTAAATTGTTGAGACTAGTCTTGAACTTTTGATCCTCCTGTGTTGGTCTCCTAAATCCCTGGGATTACAGGCATGTGCCACCATGCCCTGCCTATTTCTTTTCTTTAATTTTGATTCCTTGAAGGTAGTGACTCTTTCCTTGGATGTAAGAGTCAAATGTGACATAAGTAATCCTCAGTCTTCAGAGTGACATTTAAGAAGATGTAAAATCATCAGTGCATTTTCTAGGTCAAAGTTAGAGAATGAGGTTCATGATTAATCAACTGAACATCAGATATTCAAGTTATCATGGATGCACAATTTTCCCAAATTAAGAATATATTTAAGAGCCAGGCACTGTGGTGCATGCCTGTAATCTCAGCAGTTTGGGTGCATGCCTGTAATCTCCTGAGGCAGGAGGATCACAAGTGCAAGGCCAGCCTTGGCAACTTATCAAGGCCCTAAGCAACATAGTGAGTCTCTATCTGTGGAGAAAAAAAAAATGGAGCGGGGAGGCTGGGAATTTGGCTCAACGAATTAGTGCCCCTGGGTTCAATCCCTGGTGCGCACGCACACACACAGGCGTGCGTGCGTGTACACACACACACACACACACACACACACAAAGAATATATTTGGGGGGCTGTAGCTCAGTGGTAAAGCACTTGCCTAGCATTCTCGAGGCTCTGGGCTTGATCCCCAGCACTGCATACACACATAAACAAAAATATATAATAGTTGGAATATTATATTTTCTTTTAAATTTAGAGGAGAGGCACAGGTGACCTGCACATCTGTACTACTAGTTGGGAAGTAGGATTTACTAACTACTTGGTAGAATGTTAAGAATATGATACTTGTGGCTGGAGTTGTGGCTCAGCGGTAGAGTGCTCGCCTAGCATGCATGAGGCACTGGGTTCGACCCTCAGCACCACATAAAAATAAAATAAAGATATTATGTCCACCTAAAACTAAAAAATTAATATGAAAAAAAAAACATGATACTTGATGTCCTCCATGTTACACATCTGACCACCCACCTCTACCCATCCTTTTGGTATGCTTGTTTGTATAGCAAAGGTACATTTTGTGATCTCAGGCTTCACCAAGTAATCTCCGTCTTCTCAGAGTGTTCCTAGGGGCTAGTGCTCTGTGCTCTAGTGTTAGGGGGGAAATGGCAAAGTGTAGATGGTAGAGACTTTCACCTTCTGTTTCCTAGATTTATCTTAAAACTACAAATATAGCAAATATAGCTCTGGAAAGAACATAATATATGATGATATGGGTCTTTTTAGCACAAAGAATTTAGCATGATAGGTAATGATATTGTTCAATTTGCAGGGAGGATGGTCATGATATCAAGATCATCCGAAGTGAGGCGTGCTGATGGGTCGGTCTTCAGAAGAGAGGATGCATGAGACCGCCTTCCTCCACGAATAAATCCCATCCCCCCCTTTTCTCTTTTCCTATGCTTCATTACCTCACCTTTTCTGAGAGGAGGTGTGGAAGAAGAGCTATGTGTATTGATGGCTAATTGTAAGAATGTCTTGTTCTTGGCTTTTGCCCTTCAGCTCAGCCGACTGCCCAGGTGACTTGTGCATTGCTTCCTTTAATTGGAATAAATCAGCATTGAATTCAACGACTGCTGTTTTGCATTTGTGTTCATCAGCTTTGTGTCGCTGCGACCAAAATACTTGATGAGAACAATATTGAAGATGAAAAGTTGAGGTGGGGGTTGTGGCTCAGTGGGGGAGCACTTGCCTAGCATGTGTGAGGCACTGGGGTTCAATCCACAGCACCACATAAAAATAAATAAATAAAATTAAGATATTGTGTCCATTTACAACTAAAAAACAAACAAACAAAAAAAGAAGAAAAGTTTATTTTAGCTTATGGTTTCAGAGATGTTAGTCCATCTCAGCCAATTCCATGCTTTGGGCTTGAGGTGAGGCCCAGCATCATGGAGGAAAGTTGCTGAGCTCAGCAGGGTCAAGAAGCCGAGAAGAGAGTGTTCAGGGGCTGCAGGTACACCCTCTGAGAGCACACTCCCAGTGACCCATCTCCTCCAGCCAGGCTCCTGCCTACAGTCACCACCCAACCAATCCATTCAAACTAGGATGGACTGATCAGGTTACAGCTCTCAAAATTCAGTCATTTCACCTCTGAATATTCCTGCATTAACAGAGCAGGTTTGGGGGGACACCTCACATCCAAACCATAACACTATTAAAAATGCTTCCCCAGTGTAGGGGAGGCAAAATTTTATCTCCACTCTATTAGGGTTTTTCCATTGGGCCTGAGAATTAAACATAAGACCAATCAACAGGAGAAAAACATATTTAATATGAACTTTTTTGTGGCATGAGAACCTTTATATGGAAATGACCCAAAGATGTGGTACTGAACACTTACATACTAAAGTAGACAAACAGTAATGAATTATGAGACTAGGACAAGGTTAAGGGGACCTGGGCTGGGATAGTTACTTAATTGAGTGGCAAAATACCTAGGAAGATAAGGATTAGTCTAACAAGGTTTGTTTGTATAGATTTCCCCTGGCCTCAAATTCTTGTCCTTGATAAGAACATTACTTTCCTTTTGGAACAGATCATGTTTCATATGGGAATTTCATCTGCTTTTGAGAGACAGAAGGAAGGTCCGACCGACCCTCTGGCACCTGCTGTCTCTAAAGTGTCTTTAATTCAGAACAGCTAATATGCCAGAGCAGCACCTTTGGGGTGGCATGTCCTCACCTCTATCACTCAGCCACCTCATGGTGGTCTTTTCATCCCAGGCAAACGTGAATTTCACTACATGACAAGTAGGGTCATTGCTGAGAGGACAAGATTGATCCCCTTGTTCCTTTCCCTGATTCCTGGATAACTAGTTTGTATGTAACTGGTCTAGTGTTCCGCACGTGGCAAGAAACCATGAGACACTTGGAGCTGACGTTATCTTAAGCTGGTAGAGTAAAAAATCATTAAAGTGAAAATTTTTATTAGTTTCAAAATCTCCCCTCAATTCAATTTTCTTCTAGGATGATATAAGAATTTGGCCTTTTCCTCTTTTTGGAGCATTGGATCTCAATCCAGGGTAATTTTTCATCCAGAGAACATTTGTGGTGTCACATTTGAGGTATGGGTGCCAACATCTCCTGGGTAGAGGACAGGGTGCTTCTACACATCTTACAATGCACAGCACTGCCCCCACTAACAACTAAATGTTAGCAGTGCTGAGGCTGAGACACCTGTTTTAGAGTTTGGCACTGATAAACAATGAACTTTTTCTTTTTAATATTTAATTGTAGTTGGACACAATACTTTTATTTTATTTTTATGTGGTGCTGAAGATCGAATCCAGGACCTTGCAGGTGCTAAGTGAGCACTCTATTGCTGAGCCACAACCCTATCCCACAATAAATGTTTTATAACAACAATAAAAGTGGCCAGGGGTTAATTTAGAATGATAGTGTTTTTGGGGTAGTGCATTATAACACCAGGAATGGTGAGACATGAAGCAAGAGGTAGCTGGGAGGGCAACATAGCACAACATCAAGACTTTTGGGGAAGTGGTCAGCTAACTTCAAAATCATTCTGATTCCAATACCCTAGCTTCAGTTTTCTTATCTGGAAAATGGGGATGATGCTTAGCTCATGGAATTGTTGTGAGGAAACTGCATAGTGCTTGGCACATGGAAGCCACAGAAATGGGAGCTTCTGCTGTTTTAAGAATCCATCTTAGAGCCTAGCATCGTGGCCCACGCCTGTAAACCCAGCTGCTCTGGGGGTTGAGGCAGGAGGGTCACAAATTCAAAGCCAGCCTCAGCAACTTGGTAAGGCCCTAAGCAACTCAGCAAGAACCCTTGTCTCTAAAAAATATAAAAACTGGCTGGGGATGTGGCTCAGTGGTTAAGTGCCTCTGGGTTCGATCCCTGGTACCAATGAACAAACAAATAAATAAATCCCTCTTAGAGAAGAAGAAACCGGTACACAATGGCAAAGAAATTTGACCAAGAATGAACATAATGAAAACAGTCTGGATTAGAAACCTGGTTCTTCAGATTTCCAATCCTCTGTTTTCATATACACCAGAGACAATGAAGTGGGAAATTATACAGCATAAAAGTGCCAAAAGGAATGGCCTTTAATTTCTGGCTTACAAGCTTTCTGGAAACCTTAAAAATTTATAGAATTCAAAATTATTAAAATTAAAAATGAAAGAGTAACATAAAATGAAGTGAATAGTAGTTTAAAAACTAAAAATGAGAAAGTTGTTAATCTCTCCCAGTGTATGTGTATAAAAAAATCACACACATGCACAAAAACTTGTCCTGTAAACTTGCTTTTCCCCTTAAATATTGGGTTTATTTTCTTATCAACATGTGTCATTGCTTTTTTGTTTTTATTTATTTATTGGTTCTGGGGATTTGAGGATTGAGTTGAGTTGCTTGCTGAGTTGCTTAGGGCCTTACCAAGTTGCTGAGGCTGGCTTTGAATTTGTGACCCTCCTGCCTCAGCCCCCAGAGCAGCTGGGTTTACAGGCGTGGGCCACTATGCTAGGCTCTAAGAGGGATTCTTAAAACAGCAGAAGCTTCCATTTCTGTGGCTTCCATGTGGCCTTGCATATGCTAAGTATTCACTCTATCACTGAGCCATACCTCAACCTAGTTTCTTCTTTTTGTCAGCTACCCATTATTTTATTATTGTGACATACTTTATCTAATATCTATTGATCTGTACATATTTAAGTGGTTCAATAAGATTCACTTGGTTGGAAGTGTGAAAATCCCAACTCAAATTAGGCTGAATTGAAGATGGACTTAATTAGCCCCGATGAAGCAGAATAACTAAGGGCATGGACTTGAAGTCAGAGGTGTGCACTCACTGGCCAAGTTGCTTTTTGACCCAGTTTGCTCATCTGCAGAGTGAGGAAGACAATGGTGTTTACCTTGTAATGTTGTTGAATGTTAGAAATAAATCACCAGGTCAGTCTTGAAGCAAGACATGGAGCTTTTTTTCCCTGGCACATCAAGGGGCAGTGATCAAGTTGCCTCGGCACATCTTGACCCCTTGAAGAAGGTGGGGTATCTTTTTATAGCCCTAAACCTATAGCTACCAGCAAGTCAAAATCATAGCACATAGGAAGTGGGTCAGAATGACCCAGTTCAGGGTACAGTACACTGACCAAGAAAAATGGGAATTAAAATGAGAACATCTTACAAATGCATTTCTTAGGAATACATTGTATAAGAATAACAGGAACATTTTTCAACTGCCATGCATTGACAAATAGTGTGTGCTTAGCAGGAGGCGGCAGAGGCAGGGTTTTAACATGGGAGAAGCATTTCTTATATGAAATGGAGTCTCAGGGTAAAAGGAGTTTGTCTGGTCAAGGTACATATAGTTTGGCCCATAACAATAAGGTTGTTGTGAGGATTTAATATGACAACACATGTGACGTGCTTGAAACACTTACACTTGAAATGTTGGTTATATTACAGAAAACTGTCCTTTAAAAAAAATTTTTTTTTCCTCAATTTTGGCGATTGAACCCAGGGCCTCATGCATGCAAAGCAACCACTCTACCACTGAGCTATACTCCCAGTTCTTATTTTTCTTTCTTTCTTTTTTTTTTTTTTTCCTGTATCTTTTTATTTTTTATTTTGAGACAGGGTCTCATTAAGTTGCTTAGGGCCTTGCTAAATTGCGGAGGCTGACTTTGAACTTGAGATCTTCTTGCCTCAGCCACCCCAGTTGCTGGGATTACAGGCTTGCACTACTGTGCCTGGCCTTAATTTGCTTTTTGTCAACAATGCTTTATGGAAATTTTTTCAAGTCAGAACACATAGCTGTACTTTATTAAAAAAAAACTCACATGCTATCTATAATATATAGACATATTATTACTTATTTATTTAATCCTGTACGGCATTTCTCATTTTCACCATCACAAATAATGTTGCAATAACAGCTTTGTACACATATCCTCCTTTATTTGTGCAAATATTCTGCAGGATAAATTCATAAGATTGGAATTAGTTAATTAGAACTTAGGTTTAAAACATTGGAGGACATTGCAAATGAGTGTCTGTTTCTTCTTTCCACTATTATTATTTAATAGAAGCAGTACTACCTGTCACTTGCTTAGTCAGAGTTGTACTGTAAAACCCAGATTTGTATCCATCCTTTATTGAGGGATTTCTTTTTCCATTAAGAATGTTCACATTATAAAAGTGATATATGCTAATCATAGTTACCTAAAGTAAATCATGAGAAATATAGTTCAGCAGTCCATGGGGAGTTCTAGAATAGAAGTCCCCTGAAGACAAGAGATCTTGGCCAGGCAAGGTGGTGCATGCCTGTAATCCCAGTGGCTTGGGAGGCTGAGGCAAGAGGATCATGAATTGAAAGCCAACCTTAGCAATTTAGTGAGGCCCTAAACAAGTCAGCAAGACCTTGTCTCTAAATAAAATATTAAAAAAAAGAGAGGGGCTGGGGATCAGTGGCTAAGTTCCCCTTGGATCAATCTCTAGTACCAAAAACAAAACAAAACCAAACCAAAGAAAAACAACAACAAAAACCCACAGAGATCCTGCCCATCTTGCTTATCATTATATCTTCAGTGCCCGATAAGCCTAGC